GCGGTCCGTGGCCCGTTTGTTAGGGTATTGATCCGGCATTCGCATGGTGTTGATCGAAAAAACTACGGAAAACTACCGATCACATCAGCCGGCTGCTAGAATGCTCCTCCAGACAGCTACTTAATTCGACCTAGCTGACAAACTAGTGTCACCACGGCATCATCAACATGCCACCCCCGGGACTCGAACCCAGGACCTCCTGGTCAGATGGACAGCAGTGACATAAATTGGGGGTGAATTTAGGGGAGTACATGGTGAGACAAGTGACGAGATTTCAGGGATATGCTGATTTAAACAAATTATATCTGGTCTTTATAAAGTTTGTTTTATATAATTCCGAATCCTATAGATGTTGATAGTCAATTGATATGCAACTCTGTATCAGCCAACATATTACAAAATTATTTATTTTATTGACGCTCTGGTTATCTTATTCTCCTAGGAACATTTCAAAATCTTAATGTCCATAAATGCACAAAAAATTAAAGATATATCGAAGTAATACATTTTATTTCTAAAAATTACAGTTGACTATTAATGAAGACAAACCAATCGATTAACAGTTTTAAAATGAAGATTTGAGATTTTGATAAATTAAAACCAATTATACATTTATGGTCATTTGGATTAAAACAAAGGTCCTTCTAACCATTCGCTTCTAAACCTGAACATACCAAACGCAACGTTCTGTGATCTGTGTTCCATAAAAAAGTAAAACTCAAAAAACAACAACATGAATAGGTCTTCCAATTATTCAGACTATATTAAAGGTATTCAGTAATTTATCTTGTACTACAATTATTATTATTATATTATATTATATATTATTATTAATATATATTATTATCATTATTATTAATTTGTTGTTGTTTTTTTTGCTTTGAGAATCGGCAGCAGTCGAAGTGCATCCCTCCGGGCTGAGAATTATCAGGCTAGGTGCACTAGCGTTACTTCTTGTATAGGAGAGAATCAACAATTTTTTGCTGATTCCATTTCATACCCCAGGGTTGTTAGCGCTGAGGGCTGGGATATACTTATGATGACGAACGATGAAATAAACACACACACACACATACATAGACACACATACACACACAACACAACAATGTCCGAAGCGGGAGTCGAAACCGCGATCTTCTGGTCTGAGACCGCTTCGGCACTACAGTCTTAGCGATGTCGGCTATCGGATCGGCATTGTTATCATCATCACCATCATCATCATCAACATTATTATAGTAATTACTATCATTATTAAAATAATAATTATTTTTATATTATCGCTATTGGCAAGTTTCTGGTGCCGTTAAGCATGTCGCAGTCCAGTGCGTTTGGCTGCTCGGGGTTGTTCGATTCCGCGCCCTGCGGCACACCGGAAGCCCAGCAACTGAAGGCGCTGGGGGACCC